GCCCGCCCAGCTTTTGGCTGAGCAGTGCTCTCCCTGTGGGAGAGCATTGACCACCAGGGGGCATCTCCTGCGTTGAGTGTCTGCCTCCAGTGGTCAGTGCGTGTCATAGCGACCAGTCATTCTGCTGTTTGGTCGATTTGCATATTAGCCTTTTATCATATAGGACTAGAGGCCTGGTGCACGAAATTCATGCACGGGTAGGGTCCCTAGGCCTGGCCGGTGATGAAGACCAATCAGGGCCTTCTGGCTGCCGGCTGCCGGCTGCCAGCCTGGGACTTCCTTCATTCCATACTGACCCCAGTGATCAGCACATGTGATAGCGAGCAATCGGTCTCCCAGTCGAACTCCCGTGGGGGCAATTTGCATATTAGGCTTTTATATAGATAGATGGGCGATATTAGATTTTTCCCTAAATTCAGTAAGGGTTAAAGAAAAAGAGTTTGTCTTAAATAACCTAGCACTTGGTATAGTGTCAGGAACATAAACAGATTCAAGTTTAGATTAAAATTTAATTAAATTTAATTAAAATTAAATTTTAATTAAAATTTCTTAAAACACAAACTTTTGAGTATAAGTACTTATTTTCCAAAGGCTTCATTAATGAAGGTATGGCACTCCTTTTTTTTTTTTTTAATACTGACAAATATATCTGCTGCCTATCTTCAAGGCTGTAAACAAAGAATCCCCTAAACAACAGGAACAGTTAGTAGCTCTTCCTGATATACACAACAATCTATCTATACATATAAAAGCCTAAGTGACTAAACAACCGAATGACTGGTCAACTGGTTGCTATGAAGCTGCCCCCTGGTGGTCAGTGTGTTCCCACAGTGGGAGCACCGCTCAGATGACCGATGGGCACCAGATGCAGAGCTCATGGCTGGCTGCTGCAGCCTGGAGACCACAGCAGAGCGTCACCAAGCCTACCGAGCCACGGTGGGAGCAGAGAGCGGGACCAGGATGAGCAGGAGCGGCAGGAGGCATTGGACTGCCAGTTTCGGCCCAATTCCCACAGGCTACGCCAAGGGTGCACGAGGGCCTCTAGTATTAAATAACACTGCACAAAACAGAACTAAGCTTTTTACAAACATAGCTATCACAGTTCTACCTTACCTTTTGATTTTTCTACTGGTGGAGTTTCATCCATCTCAACAAGGGGCTTTTTGTTTGGAGGTTCTGGGGAATCAGGTGAATCTTTTATGATTTCAGCTTCAGCCAATTCTTCTTTTCCACGTTCTAAGATGCCTTTTAATCTTTTAGAGGGAAAAATAATAAAATTTAAATATTTAGAAATCGAAATGGTTCAATAATTAAACTAGACTTTGCATATCAGTCTCAATAAAAGATAGCTGCTCCTACAAAGTAAACCTAGATACTAATCAGAAGCTAAATGCCAATCTAAAATCAGATGAGAACTTAATGAATTAAACACAAGTATCCCCTTTTCTTCATCATAAGTGTAATAATTCAGTAATGTAGTTTGCTGCAAAATATGAAAAAAATGGAGAAAAATTTAAGAAGCTAACAAAAAGAAAAGTGATATTTGGAAGAAATATCACAATTTAATATTTAAAGATATAGGCCACATAATACTTCAAATTATAAAGAGTAAGTAATTTACTATTATTTGTTCCCTAGTTTATGTACTGTGGATATGTATTTACATTCCACAAGTTAGAAACTTAATTCCAAGCTTATTTTGAATTTTCCAAGGGAACAAAAACACTTTCAAAATATACAGACTTCTACTTGAATAACACGGGGGTCTGAATCAGAATACTTCCCCTGCCACTCCTCTTTTTCTACCCTCCTCTTCTTAAAGCGAGCCAATTCCGTTTCAGAAGCTTGGTGGCTCTAAGGAAGAAGTGAACTTCTAAGGTCAAGAGAATAAAAATGTTCTACATTATACTTATTTTTGGATGAAATAATATAATTTCTAGAATTAGCTTCAAAATAGTCCATGTGGAGTTGGACAGTGGTGGTGGTGAGGAGAGTGGATGTGAAATGTGGCATTAACTAATTGATAACTGTTCAAAGTAGATGATGGGTAAATGTGTATTCCACAGTAGAATAAATCTTTGAAGTTTTTCATAATAAGTTCTGATCTGTTTTAAGGGACATAACACATTATCATTATAATATTTACCTGGTTCTTTGCCTGATTTCTGGCAAGAAGTTAGAAGACAAAGCCAGTTAATATGTTATGATACTTTTATTTATAAATCACAAGCTAAGGAAAAGATGTACTATTGAGGAAGGTTTTCAGAATTAGGACTATGCTCTTTCACTGTGCTATCAAGGGCATCTTTGCCTATTTTTATAACAGCATCATCCATATTTTGTTGTGATCACTAACTTACTTGCCTATCTCTAGCGCAACATTGTATGTACTTCCAAGGCAGTAATCTTATGCTAAATACCTGGCATATCACAAGTATTCAATAATATTTACTGACAAAGAAATAAAACTATGTCTTTGATATTCATAAAACATAAATACTGACACCAAAATGTCCTAAATTATAATTTTCACGTTAATTAGGATAAAAATTAAACACTCTTTGCCCCTAATCGTAAAATAAAATCATTAAGTCTCAGATTTTTTTGATTTTAAGAATGACAAAATCTTAGTTATAAATGAAATAAATACACATTAAATGAACTTCTATTAAATGCAGTTGATCTATATGCAGAATGTGATATGCCAAAAGGCACCATAGTGCTATATTAATATCAACAATCACCTCTCTAAATCTTGCCAAGTCTTCTCCAGTTCATAATCTTTTACTGCTTTCTCTGACTTGTCCTCTTTGTCCTCCCTCTTTCTTCCTCGTTTCTTTCGTTCTTCTTCTTCTGGGGGTTTGCTCCTACAGGCCATCAGACATTCCAAGACCCTTTGATGTTTCTCCGAGTTATTGATATGGGCTCTCACAAGGGTTTCTAATTCATTCCACATGATACGGTATTGTTCATCTCTGAAGTAAAGATTTAAAATAACAATCTCAGAAATACTCTTTAAATAATATTAAAATATCACTTTCTACTGGTAAAGTAAAAGGAAACCATTAAACATGGACTTATTTTCTCTTCATAAAATATAAGGGTACAATTTTCAGTTATAATGTATCCAATTCTGCTATTCTATAGCATTTCACCTCAATTATATGTATATATACACATCCATAAACATAATTTACATATGGAATAAGTTAACTTAAAATATACTAGGTATCAAGTCAATATGATATATAAAGAAAAATATTACCTTTTAGGGCCTTTTCCTCTTGTACCCACTGTGGAAATAGGTAGAGGATCATTTTTTCTTTCCATATCAACTAAGTTGTATATTGTTTTTTGACAGTTTAACACATCTTCTTCTGTCAAAGATTCTTTCACAATAACACTGGCTAATGGAACTACCTGTCACATTTAAAAGAACAAACCAAGAAAATCTGTCTTGAAAAACAAATATCAAAGCATGTAGGCAGAACTTCAATTGATTTTTAAACATCACTGTGGCGAGATCATATGTAACTTTCAGTTCAATTTTCTGTTACTATTTAACTGTCGTAAACTCAGATATTTTATTCTTTGCTTCAGAAATGGTCTCTGAAAAGAATATATAAATAATCTAGAAGAGCAGTTGAAACAATTTAACACTTACCGCTTGCATGTTAAAAATGGTGGTTTGAGAAATAATCATAGGCCAGTAACGGGTGTGTTTTTCTAACTGATCTTTTGCTCGCTCCAAAGGGATCTCAAGACTTCCATCGATTTTATATCTGGGGTCTAGAAAAGGAGTTAATCTGTTTTCCCTCATAAATTCACCAAAATCCTAATGATAACCAAATAAGATAAAATTAGAAACTATTTTCTAATGGTTCAGTATGGATTACATGTAACAGTCTGTTTCCCTGAGGTCTTCTGTCCTGTGACATGCAACAAAGCATTTTCTCCTACAGCTCCCCCTACCACCCACTTTTCTTCACTTCTATAATTTAACTCTTTTGTATCATATACAGAAAAAAGAATTAGTGAATCACTCTTTGAATGATGGAGTTATAAGTAATTTATAGTCTTTCTTTTAAATATATCTATATCTCTAAATTTTCTACAATAAATATTAGTTTCCTCCTTATTAAAAAAAATTTAAATAATAAAGAAAAAGCCTAATCAAAAACAATTACTTACAGTATATAACACTTTGGCTTACAAAGTATGCACTCATGCACATCAATCACATTTAATTTTCACAACCACCTCAAAAAAAAGACAGCAATAAAATACCGAATATAAATTAGGAGAGGAGGAGTGAAAAATTAAAATCAGAACAATGGAATTTCTACCAAAAATAGAAACAAATTTTTTTGTAGACATCCTTAAGTAACACAAAGATTTAGTGTTATTTCAAATTAGCAGCAATCTATTGAAATGTTTTGTTTGCCATTTAAGTTACTAGAAATAAAGTTTCACTTAAAATATTAGCTCAAATCAATTTCTATTCTTTTCTATAATTCCAGTATGTCAATGTTATTCAGATACTTCTAAGTATACACTGAATACATAAGGAAGACTACAGATTGATAAACAGCTCTTTCAAGCAAGTACTGTTAATTAAAATAAATAATCAACTTCCCAAACTCCTTTTTGTCACAGATCTTAGCATATAATAGGCATTCAATAACTTGCTAAATCAGAATACTCAAATCATAAAATTTATAGATATTAGAGTCTTACTGTGATCCGGTAGTCTGTAACTCTTCCTCCACATCCTTCACTAATTGAAGGTGGATCTTCTAGAATGGATCGAGAACTACTCAGGACGTGCAAAAATATCTCTCCTCCATGGCTACTAAGCATATGACTGATGACTTTGGAACCTGACTTTCGTGGTTGTTCCAATAAAACAGAACGACCTGTCAAAAGTAATGAAATTCAAACGGGCTCTTATTTTTCCCCTAAGGTTTATGTCTAGATTTTTTCATTTTATTTATTAACCCTCATATTTTAACCAGCACTGCTAATTTAGTTTTTCTGTGTTTCAAGTCCAAAAAGTCTGAATTCCAGCCTGAGCTTTCTCTTGGTCCTCCAAGCTTACATAGTTATACAGGTGGTTTTCCAACATAAATATAGTGGTCTCTAATACAATGTTTGGTTATATTCTTCATTCAATTACAAGTTCATATGAAATTTTTCTCTTGGACATCAAGAAGAAAAGTGAGACAAGTGTTGGATAACCCTCAAGTTGTCAAAGCTATAAAACATTTGGAGGAGAAAATGAAGTCTAAATTCACTTCCACAATACCTACTTATCAGCATTATTATTGTAACTACTTTCTATTTCACATGACCAAATGTTATTTAATCTGGACTTTACATAGTCTGATAATCAAATTGTGCTTAATATAACTATGAAATTAATCTTATGATAAAGGCTGGCCAACTCATCAGTGATTCAAAAACTGAGTTGGCCATAAGACTCTATTAAGAGAAGCTATTAGAGTTTAGATTTAGTAAATGAAATCCAATAATTTGGTTTTCTAAAGAATTTTTTCAGGCCCTGGCTGGGTAGCTCAGTTAGAGTGTTGCTCTGATATGCCAAGGTTGCAGGTTTGATCCCCGGTCAGGGAACATACAACAATCAACCAATGAATGCATAAGTGAGTAGAACAACAAATTGATGTCTCTCTCTTTCTCTCTCCCTCTCTCTTTCTCTCCATTCCTCTCTCTCTAAAATCAATAAATAAAAATTTTAAAAATGTATTTTTTTCACACAAGGAAACCAGAGATTTAAGGCCATGTGTGTAAGAATAACATGGTATAATATTTAAAATGTTTATGGTAAAGGTATAGTGTTCAAAGAAAAGTAAGTCCATATACATATACACTTTATAATTTAAAATTCAATAGGCCAAGATAATGGTCTGTACTATATACTATCTTAAAAACAAAACATGCAGACTTTAGTGGTAAAATTTTAAATTAAAAATACCAAAAAAAATATATAAATAAAACTTATTTGGATACAATAGCCTGAAAGACATAAAGTCATCTTAATTTTAAACATTAGTAAGCTAGTTAAGGGTATTTATAATTATATAACTTTAAAGCAGTTCTGGGAAACAAAATGGTTAAACTATGTTGAAAAAAATGGCTTTTCCAGAGTTCATGACTTCCCTTGTAATAATCTCAGTCAAAACAATTAAATGATGAAAGTTACCATTTAGAAGAAAATTAGTAAGGCAGGAAGAAGGTCTACTATTTACATCTACAGGTGAAATTCGATAAGCGCCAGTGCAATAGTGTAATTCTGAAATAGAAGAAAATACTGATTTCAAAGAATATAAACAAATATTTCCACAAAAGAGAAAAAAACACATACTTGTTTCTTAAATCTATATAACAATGAAAAACAAAAACTCCAAAAAAGCAAATGATTAAAATAAGTATTTGATTTCCCTCTAAATTTCTCATTAATTTAATCATCCCAATCACTGCACTGAAAGGCAATAGCAAAACTTTTTGAATTTTTTTAAAAATATGGAACGCTTCACAAATTTGCATGTCATCCTTGCACAGAGGCCATGCTAATCTTCTCTGTATCGTTCCAATTTTAGTATATGTGATGCCAAAGCGAGCACACTTTTTGAAATTTTAAGACTACAATTGCTCCCTTATGTCACCATCTATATATATAAAAGCCAAGTGACCGGAACGTTGGAAGGACCAGAACAACCGGTCGCTATGATGTACACTGCGGCGGCCAAACAGCCTGATTGGAGCCCTGATCGGCCCTCCCAACCACCCGTGGCTCCTCCCCGGCAGGTCCCACCCCCAATCGTCCCCCACCCCAATCAGGGGCATGGCTGGCCAATCTCCTGTGTCCCCGCCCCGCCACTGGTCTGGCCCGATCGGCCCCCATCAGGGCAGGCCGGCTGAACCCCACCCATACATGAATTCATGTACCAGGAGTCTAGTCTACACTAATAAAAGAGAAACATGGTAATTGGCGTACGACCGCTACCCTTCCCATTGGCTAATCAGCAAGATATGCAAATTAACTGACAGCCAAGATGGCGGCCGGCAGCCAGGCAGCTGAGAACAGGAGGCTTGGTTGCCCCAGCGATGGAGGAAACCAAGGTTCCCCGTCTGCAGCTGCGGGGCTCTGAGCTCCTGAAGCAACAACTCCAAAAGATACAATGTTTCAATTATAGAAGCTAAAAGATGGCGGTTAATTTGCATACTGAGGCACAAAGCAGAGCGAAGCCAAACAGCCCTGAAGCGGCAGGGCAGAGAGGCCTTAGGGCCCCGTGAACAGTGGAGCAGACAGGCCTCCTAGCCTGGGATCAGTGGAGCCGTGAGGCCTCAGGAGCCCAGGATCAGCAGAGCCGAGAGGCCTCAGGGCCCTGGGATCAGCGGAGCCGAGAGGCCTCAGGAGCCCGGGATCAGCGGAGCCGAGAGGCCTCCCGGCCCCAGGATCAGTGGAGCGGAGAGGCCTCCCGGCCCTGGGATCAGCGAGCCGAGAGACCTCCCGGCCCTGGGATCAGCAGAGCCGAGAGGCCTCAGGACCCTGGGATCAGCAGAGCCGAGAGGCCTCCCAGCCCGGGGATCAGCGGAGCTGAGAGGCCTCAGGACCCCGGGATCAGCGGAGCCAAGAGGCCTCAGGACCCTGGGATCAGCAGAGCTGAGAGACCTCAGGACCCCGTTATCAGCGGAGCCAAGAGGCCTCCCCGCCCCAGTTATCAGCGGAGCCGAGAGGCCTTAGGACCCCGGGATCAGCAGAGCCAAGAGGCCTCAGGACCCTGGGATCAGCAGAGCCGAGAGGACTCCCGGCCCTGGTTATAAGCAGCCGAGTTCTCCCCCCGAGTGCACAAATTTTTGTGCACTGGGCCTCTAGTCCTATATAATAAAAGGCTAATATGCAAATCGACTGAAGGCAAAATGACCAGTTGCTATGACGCACACTGACTACCAGGGGGCAGACACTCAACGCAGGAGCTGCCCTCTGCTGGTCAGTACACTCCCACAGGGGGAGCACTGCTCAACCACAAGCCAGGCTCATGGCTGGTGAGCGCAGCAGGGGTGGCAGGAGCCTCTCCCGCCTTTACGGCAGCGCTAAGGATGTCCTACTGACAGTTTAGGCCTGCTCCCCATGAAGAGGGCCTAAGCTGGCAGTAAGACATCCCCCAAGGGCTCCTGGACTGTGAAAGGACACAGGCCGGAATGAGGGATGCACCCTCCTCCCCAGAGTACACAAATCTCATGCACTGGGCCTCTAGTTAAATAATAAAATAAGTACTTGAAAAAAGCTTCAGGAATCTAAAATGCGTTAGTTATACTGAATCCTAATGAATTTATGAGAAGAAACATAAAATTAGGGACCTAGAAAGTTACAAATGTATAACATTTAACAGTAAGCATTTTTTGCCTAAATGCAGTCTACAGTAAACAGATATTAATAAAACTAGAGGCCCAATGCACAAAATTCATGCAAGAGTAGGCCTTCCTTCCCCCCAGCTGACAGCAACGGCTTCCCTCTGGCACCCGGGACCCGGACTTCCTTCCCAACCCCGGCTTCATCCGGAAGGTCATTCAGTCTAATTAGCATATTACATTTTTATTATTATAGATGATAATGAATAAATGCAAACTATAAAACTGACAAAGCTCTAAAGGAGATATATTGAGCACTATGAGGGACTTTCCAGAGAGATTTGACCTATGTTGAGACAACAGGGAAGGCTGCTTCGAGAAGTAAAAGTAACTTGAGTTCTAAAAGAGTGAAGTGAAAATAACTAAAGAAATGAAGGAGAGTATTCAGGCAAGGAAAACAGCAGATGCCAAAATATTGTGGCAGGTGAGAGCATGATGAGTTTCAGGGCCTTTTAAGACATTTAAAATTCTGTTTTTATCTTAAGGGCAACAGAAAAGCATTAGAGGGTTTTAAGATAAGGGGAGTATGTCCTGATTCACATCATGAAAGATATTCTAGTTAGCAGGTCGAGTAGCTAGACACACCATTAAGGAGGCTATTATAGGTACTAGGTAAGAAAATAGTACGCTGGACTATTAATAGGGAGATGTAATAGTAATGGATATGCAGATGTAAATGTATGAGATACACTTTGGTAGATAAAATCAAGTAAATGTGATCATATGCAAATATAAAGAGTCATCTGAAGACAAAACAGCCATCTACAAGCCAATGAGAGAGGCTCAAGAAGAAATCAACTGCATAGTCAACTTGAACTTGCATTTCTAGCCTCCAGAACAGAAAATAAATTTTCTGTTGTTTAAGCCAAAAGAAAAAAGAGAGAATGTGGTGATAGATTAGATATGAAGAATGACAGAGAGATGTTTACAGATGACTCTGAGGTTTCTGCCTTATATAACTGAATAGGCAATAGGGTCATTCACTGAAAGAGGGCAAAGTTCATAGGTTGTTTTGAGTATATTGAGTAATAGGTGCCTAAGAGACATCTTTTAATACACCTAACTTACTGAACATCATAGCTTTGCCTAGCCTACCTTAAATGTGCTCAGAACGCAATATCCAAAAAATGCTGGCAACACTGTACAGTATCGGTTGTTTAACCTCGAGATCAAGAGGCCGACTGGGAACTACAATTTGCTGCTGCTGCTCAGCATCACGAGTGTCATACTACACATCTCAAGCCCGGGAGAAGGTCAAAATTCAAAGTGAATAGGTATCACTTTCTCACCATCATAAAGTTGAAAAATATAAAAATCATAAGTCAAAACATTGTAAGTTATGGACCCTCTGTATAGACCTGAAGCTTAGAGAAGATATCTGGGCTAAAGTATAGGCATACTAATCAAAATCCAGCTCTAATATCACCTCTTCTGCAAAGCTTGCCTGACTCGGAGATATAATTACATGCAAACCCTGTGTTCCCACAGATCTCTGTCCCTATTGCTACTATAGCATTTTGCATATGGTGTTCATGTCAATCAACAACTATTTTAGAGGAAAAGGTTGTGTTACAAAGAATATTTTTACTATTTTTCTAAGTTTTAAAAATAAACATATTAAAAATTGATATTACCTCACAGGTTCTTAGTAATTTCCATATATTGTATTTTTAAAAACAAGTTATTTACATTCCTTTGTTAAACATGAATATATTTATTTACCTTAATAGTTTTTCTCCTGTTAGAAATTTTTGTTTAGAAATGGGTAGAATATTACAGTTCATCTAATCTAGCTTTATTTATTTACTTATTTATTTTCTTGATAATCTTCACCCATGGATTTTTTTTTATTGACTTTTAGAGAGAGTGGAAGGGAGGAGGAAAGGAAGAGGAAGAGGGAGAGGGACAGGGAGAGGGAGAGGGACAGGGAAAGGGAGAGGGAGGGGAATTGAACCTGGAACCCTTCAGGCTGCAGGCCAACGCTCTATTCACTAAGCTAAACCGGCTAGGGCTAACATCTATAATAATAAAAGCATGATATGCTAATTAGACCAGACAGTCGAACAACCTTCTGGGCGTCCTTCCAGATGAAGCCGCTGCAGCAGGGGCTGAGGCAGAGTTGGTTAGGGGTGATTAGGCAGGCATGCAGAGTGATTAGGAGCAATCCGGCAGGCAGGTGAGTGGTTAGGGACAATCGGCAGGCAGGCGAGTAGTTAGGGGCGATCAGGCACGCAGGCGAGTGGTTAGGAGCCAGTGGTCCCAGATTGTGAGAGGGATGTCCGACAGGATCGGGCCTAACCAGCAGTTGGACATCCTGCGAGGGGTCCTGGATTACGAGAGAGTGCAGACCAGGCTGAGGGACACCAACCCCAGCGTGCACAAATTTCGTGCACTGGGCCTCTAGTCTTTAATATATAAGTACATAAACTGAAGTGTAGAAACACATAGGATTTGCTAGCTGGTGGCAAAGCTTTGGCTAAAACTGTTATCTCCTAACTCCAGAGTCCTAAACCATGCTGATATGGCTGCGGGAATCTGTTTTGGGAGAAAAAGCCTACGGAGTCACATACTTTTTAGAGGAAAAAAATGTCACTAAATTTCAAAACAACTGATTTATATCCGGGCTTATCAGTTGTAAGTCCATCACCCTTTCAAGTTGGCTCCTATTCTTTTCCCTCTCCCAAGGCAGTTTGCCTAGAAAAGAAAAACTATGACATGACTTCAATGGCTCTCTTTCACAATAGCTTAGTCTTAGTTCCATGACCATTAATAGGTGACATTGTCCAATAAGTTTGGAAAGGAATGAACCAAAGTCAATCAGGTTTGTTTACTGAAGAGCACTTCAAAGTTGTTTGTAAGCTTCCATATGTTAGATCTCACAAATTAAGACTTTCCAGTGTCTCTTACTCACCACTTTTCAAGAAATCTACATGTGCATCTTTGTGATGAAGTAACTCCACATCATAATTGGCAGATGTGTTAGCATGTTGTTCTTCCTTAAAGCAAAATTTAAAATCACTTGGTTTTGTTTTCCAAAGAATGAAGTTATTTATTAACTATTAATTTTGCTCTTTGTTTACAATGAAATAAAATACACTGGATGAAAATTATCTACAATAATGGTATAGCTTGCTCAGTAATTAACCTATTTAAAGATGCAACAGTTTTCCACTGAAATATAAACTATTAAAAAACGACTTGCTATATATTAGTAATACAGCATCTAATTATTTTTCTTATATTTTGTCAGGAATTAACACGTGATTAATCCAGAAATTTTAGAGATTTTTTTACTCCAAATGCACTGTCTTGTGCAAATATACACAAATTGTCTGTAAACAAATATAATGCAATTGAAATAGTTTATATATATTGAAAGTGAAATCATTGTTTAAAGGAAGCAGCATCTTTAAATACCTATAATAAATTAACAAATGTCAATTATATAAAATAGCAAATACTGACTAATAAACAAGTTTATTAATTTTCCTAAATAGTAAACAGGAATTTTGATATTATCTATTTACAAGAAAAAAACAGATTGAAGAAAGAATCACACCAGCAGCACACAAATATAATCAAGTTCTAAGAGCAAGGTACCTGTCACCCACCCTCAGACTATTTTTCTTATAACTCATGAATAATAATCTGAGTGGCCAGATTATTATGACCGGCCAGATTATTATGACTACCCCATCAGCACTTCATTGACACTTCCAAAAATACTGAATATTGAAAACTTCCTAAGCAAATACTCTCAAGGTTTTATTATCATCATTATTTGCATAACTAATTTACTTCATTGTACTGATGGGGTGGTCATAATAATCTGGCCGGTCATAATAATCTGGCCACTCAGTGTATAATAAAGTACACCTATTACGCTACTTTACTTGTTGTTTCTATGGGTTAAAGTTACAATTTCTATTAAAGAGCCAGGCAATGGTATAGGAGAAAATTAATAATCAAAGATATTTCTATGCAATTTAGTGTTCATCATATAGTGGCAAAACAATGTAATTGGGACTTATAAGAAAGTCTCTTTGTATTTTTAGATATGATGGTTATTTTATCTATAAACATAATCAATAAAATTAAAATTAATTTCACTTAGTAAAAATTCATTTAAAGCTTACTATGGGCCAGGCATTGTGCTAGTTCTAGACAATCTAATGATACTATGATGAAAAGGAACAGGTGGCAACAGGTGCCTAAGAATATCTATTAATAAAATCCCAAGACTCACACCTTTGGTTTTTCAGGTAAGGTAATAAACTTATTTAAAACTATGAGCTATTTTTCCCTAGTCAGACTTATTAGTTACAAACACCTTTATATTTGTTGGGCAAAAACAAAAATACAGAAAATAAAAGACCAACTAGAATACACAATGTAAGGAAAATCTAATAACACAACTGTCATAAAAAGAATCACAGAAAAAGTGGTCATTTAAGATAGAGATTATACTTTGATGAAAATAATGAGAACATAGTTAAAAACAAAAAAGCTGAGTGTTCTTATTAGAGAGAAAATACAGCATTTTGTTCTGTGATCCTTTCTTGTTGCTTTTCAGTACTTACTGACCTGGTCAAAGACACTGAATGTGGGCTAGCAAAACAGAAAACATGATATGGGGAGAAAAATATTAAGGTTCAATTAAAATAAATAATATATGTCAAACAAATGTTTAAAAAGCAAAACAGAGCTTTCAAAATAGCAGGAAAAAGAGCTGCCTACCTTCATTGGAATATTTGTAATAGTAGTTGAAGCCAAGTCAAAATGTTGCTGTACTAAAATATTTAATTTGGTAGCAAGATGCCGTCCTGCACGAACACTATGAACTTCACTGGTTAAAACAGGGGACAACTACAGAAAAGTATGAGAGAGAAAAAACCACCCATAAAACATTAATACACTGTAACCGAATGCTAAATAGTTTACTTCAACCCATAAAAAGTGACTGTTTTCATTTTATAGAATTTGGAAAAATACAAAGGTCCATAAATTAACTATGGTCATTATTTTTTAAAATATATTTTTTATTTATTTCAGAGAGGAAAAGATAGAAACATCAGCGATGAGAATCATTGATCAGCTGCCTCCTGCATACCCACTAATGGGGATCGAGCCTGCAACCCAGGCATGTGCCCTTGACTGGAATCGAACCCAGGACCCTTCAGTCTGCAGGACGATGCTCTATTCACTGAGCCAAACTTGGCTAGGCACTAATGATCATTATTTTAGCAATAAATGTTCAGACAGTCATTCATTTATTCATTTAATAAATAGGTACCAAGCAGAATTTACTACATTATATGCCAGAAACTGTGTGAGCTCTTGGAGGATACAGCAGTGAACAGGCAAATTCCCTGTCCTCTTGAAACTTAGAGTTGTTGATATAAATATATATTTTCATTTTTAATTTTACTTCTATTTATCTATATGCAAAATGGATCAGAAGTGGCCCATAGAAATACTATAGAAAAGTAATTCATTTTGAGAAGACAACACCCGAAAGATAGAACTACTTAAAAGGAATGTGGAAATCACTACAAACATCATATTTTATCACCAATAACTATAAGGCAGCCAAACTTTACTTACAACAAGGTAACACAAAACTTTACTCATTCCAGGGTAAAAATATTTATTGTAAATAAGCTTTTTAGCTATCACAAAGTAAACCCAACATAATGCCACATTATCAAAATATGCAGGTACAAGTTAGTAAAAAGGGGGCTTGTACTGGAAATCACCTAAAAACACAACAATAAAGCTAATGACCTAGCAATACCACTTAACTACCAAGCATTCATAGACTAAGGTAATACTTCACATGTTTATATTAAATAAGGCTAAGAGAAAAACCTGAACCTAAAAACATACACATTTAATACAATTAGGTAAATACATAGACCACTGACGGAGAATATTATGTGATGCAAATTCTTTTAACAATCAACAGATTTATCTTTTCCTTCAAAAATGTTCAAATCTACTTAAAAAGGAAAACCAACGTTGGAAATTAGTTTTTTCCCCCATCTGATTGGGTAAAGTTAATTTCTATGTTACTAGAGTGTATTTTTATTAGAGTATATTACTTTTCTAATGAGAAAAAAAAGATTTTTAAGGAATAAAACATCATTAAAGCAACTGAAACCCATTGCAATAATTGAAATTTTAGGAACAATGCAAATTGTATGGGTTTTACAACACATTTAATTAAATGTCAAAAGGCAAGCAAAAAGAAAAAAAAAGTTTTAATCTACACCTGAGAATATGTTTTTATATATTTTAGAGAGAGGAAGGGAGAGAGAGAAACATTGATCCGTTGCTTCCTATACACACCTAGTCTGGGGATTGAACTGGCAACCTAGGTATGTGCCCTGACCAGGAATTGAACCCAAAACCTTTTGGTACAGGATGACACTCCAAACAACTGAGCCATTCAGTCAAGGCTAAACAGAAAACACTTATAAAATGTACTATTATAACACAAAGAACCAAACTAGGTGTTTTGCTATACAGGTTCTTTGAAAACTGTAAATACAGGGTATGGCAAAAGTAGGTTTATAGTTGTTCTGATAAAAAAATACAATAATTAATAAATAACACAATAATTAATAAATAATAATGCAAAATAATAAACTATGTGTTTCGTGTACTTACAACTATAAACCTGCTTTGCCCCACCTTGTATTTTCTTGGCAGAAAATGTTGGCAATGTGATCATTATAATGCTAACCCTTGTCAGCATTTATTATTAACTAAAAATGATCTTTTCTCTATTACTTCTGCACTTACCTCTTTTTTGGAACGATCTGATACAAGGCTGTCTTCACCAACAGGGTAGGTATGGATCAAAACCAGCTCACACTTCTGAATCTGCATGAGACTTAAAGAAAAACTTTCACTTAGAATATAAAAATACATACTATTCTTATAAATATGGACACAAATATCCTCAACAAATTGCTACTAGCAAACCAAATTGAGCAACATATAAAAATAATTATACATCATGACAAAACGGATTATCCCAAGAATACAAAGTTGATTTAAAATCCAAAAATTAATTAATGTGCATATCATATCAACAGAAAATTTTTAAAAACACATAATTTCCAAAATCACAAGAAAACACATTTGACAAAATCTAAGACCTTTTCAACAAACTAAAAGGAAACGTCTTTAGGTAGATAAATGGCAGTAAAAAAAATTTTTTTTTAATGTGGAAGTATATACCAAATGAGCAAGAGTTGAAAGTTTGCTTCTAGGAAGTGGGGAAAGACTGGAATGGAGATAACTGTTTTGCTTTTCGTAATAGGTGATGTCTTTAAACTATGTGCATTCAATGTAAAGATTCTAGGCAGATAAACTATTGAGAGTTATATTTACCAAAACAGCATATCTCTATAATCAGATACTACTGTTAACACAAAAGCTAAATATTTAGAAAAACTGTATAACTGTTGTACTTGTATGAACATTAAATGAATAATTCATATTAATTAAATTCAAATGCAAAAATAGTTTTTGTGTTTAAAGGATAAAATAAAAAGAAAATTCTTATAATCAGGTATAATTTTCAATATATAACTGTCACAGAGAAAATTAATATATTGTGCATTAGTTTCCTTTTTACTAATGTTTTTTAAAGACAAAACCAGACAATACTAACCTGGACTTATAACTTATTATTCGAAGAATACAGAACTTGTAATGCTAAAAAGTTTCCCCCAACTTTTTATTTTAAAATTTCCAAACCTACAGAAAGGTTGAAATAACGATACTATTCAATGAATACTGATATATCCTTAAACTAGATTCACTAAGTGATAGCTATATTTGTTCTCTCTATGTACCTAAATAGACATACACTTTTTTTAATTATGCCATAGATAGTAAATTGCAAAGGAAATACTTCATTCCTAAATACCTCAGCATGCTTCTCCTAGTGAGAATAATCTTATTTATTAACAATAATACCAGTACTCCACTTAAGGAGATTAATAATAGCTCAATCTAATTTAGACTCCACATTGCAACAGCCCAAAACATATTTTTAATAGCTTTTTGCTTTAAAAAAAATTCATATACTGCAATTCATTGTTTTGGTCCATAATGAATAATGCCACTGATAATTTATTCATTTTATAAATTTGAAAGAATATGAGAGCAAGCTATCAAAACAAATATGCATTATAAATTTATACATTATGTTATAGTTCTGATCACCTTTCCTATGGGAAAAAGCAAAATCTTAAAGTGAAAGGGAAAATAGGGAATAAAATTTCTGATCAAAGTAGAGTCTGAAGAAAAATTTATGTTTCTATTAAAATTATTGAAATAATTAGAATGAAATATATGACTATAAAATTTAATATTTATTTCAAAGGTAGATTATACTCACTGATCTGAATTTGCAGCAAGCTTGTTATGCTCATGAATCGTTTCCTGAACACAGTCCTCAAGCATTCGCACATGACTATCACTAGTGGCATAAAAAAGATACAACAAACTTAAAGGAATAAACAGTAAGAGAAAAAATTAAACACACTGTTCAGCTACAGGCATTTAACATTACTTCAGTAAGGATTGTTTTTAGGTGCTCATTCACAACACCAAATAACCAAATGAAAAACTAGTGAGAAGTCAAATTAACCTACATGATGACAATCTAAAGTTTTCACTGAGATGAGTATTTTAGAACTGGATAAACAAAGCTTCAATATTAGAAAGGCCACTTGTGATACGTTTAAATGCTAACATATTGTCCCTACTTTTTAAAATAAAAGCCGTGAAAGAGTACAATTCTCTCTGTGAAAGAGTTACTGTTATTGTCTCACCTTTTTGCATTAGTAATGCAAATTATTCTCCCCCTGTTGCCAACACGTTCTGCATTCTCCATTAGTAGAGTACGGGCCTCATGTTGGTATTCCGTAATTTTACAGAGGGTTTCCACTGCTGCAACGAGGCCATGTAGAATACTGCAGCATTCTGGATCTGCCCGTGGATTAGGGGGCCCAACAGCAGCTAATGCTGCCATTAGCTAAATAATGGGAAAACAATTATGGTGACAAGAGTATGCACAAGTCAGACAAAGACATCACAAGAAAAGTAAACTATAAACCAATATATCTTATAAATATGGATTCAAATATCCTCAACAAATTACTACTAGCAAACCAAATTGAGCAACATATAAAAATAATTATACATCATGACTAAGGGGACTATCCCAAGAATGCAAAGTTGATTTAAAATCCAATAATTAATTAATATGCATATCATATTAACAGAAAATTTTAAATCACATAATCTCCAAAAATACAAGAAAATGCATTTGACAAAATGTAAGACCTTTTCAACAAACTAGAAATAGAAGGAAACTTCTTTAAGTAGATAAATGGCAGTAAAATAATTTTTTTTAAATATGGAAGTATATACTAAATGAGCAAGAGTTGAAAGTTTGCTTTCAAGTGGGCAAAGGCTGGATTGGAGACAGCTGTTTCACTTTCAGTATTAGGTGATGTTTTTAAACAATGTCCATATATTATCCTATATTGATCAAAATTTTTAAATTATTTTTTATTAAAGTATTACTGAAACATCAATGATGAGAAATTTTTCAAAAAGGCCACAGTTCAAAACCTGAACCATACCTCTTGCAAATTTTGGTCTTCTTGAGTCCAGGAATTTAAAACATGTGCTCCAGAGTCACTCACAATGAAATTCACCTAACAGATTTCAAAGAAATAGTTAGTACTCAACTCCAATTCCATCTGATCACATCATATTTAAAATGTAAAGTTTGCTACTAGTTAATAGTAAAAAGAATTAAAAATAAAATAATATGAGGTCTCTAGCACTGATTTGTTGATTGAGTCATTCATCCATTTTATAAGTATAGAATGCCTAGTACATGTCAGGTGCTATTCTCAGTGCTGGAGTATGGGAATATAGTGAGGAATAAAACAGTTCTATCGCAATGTGGGGAAAACAAGGTTTGGCAGGTGTGGTAAGATAAGAGAGCAGTACAGGGAACCAACAAATAAACAAGATCATTTCAGAGTGATAAATGTGAAGAAAAAGATGGTTAGTTACTTCAGGTTGGCTGGACAGAGAAGGGCTCTCTACACAAGTTGCAACTGAAGAAAATTCAAAATGACCAAAAGAAATCAGCCATGGAAAGAGCTGGGGATAGAGAATTCCAGGTATAGTGAACAGCATTCGCAAAGACCTTTAAGTGAGTACCCTTAAAAGGATGAAGTTCAGAGCAGACATAAGAGCAGGAGATAAGCTCAAAAAAATAGGCAGTGGCCATAACACATAGGGCACTGAAAGTCAAAATAATTAATTTGGACTTTTATTCTAAATTTGTAAGTAAAATTCAACAAAACAAAAATAGTATCACTGGGCCAGCATGGCTAAGTGGTTGAGTATCGACCTATGAACCAGGTCATGGTTCAATTCCCGGTCAGGACACATGCCCAGGTTGAGGCCTCAATCCCCAGTGAGGGGCGTGCAGGAGGCACCCAATCAATGATTCTTTCTTATCATTGATATTTCTCTCTCTCTCCCTCTCTGAAATCAATAGAAAAATCTTTAAAAAAAATATTATCAAGTAAGGTGAAATGAAATGATCGCACCCTTCTCCCAAAAGGAAACAAAGTCATCATTTGATATATTTTCTAATATATCACCACCTCAGCTTCATCTCCAACATGACAGTAATAAAAAAAAAAGGCTGATATTCAGATGGTACTAGTACACACCAGCACAGTCTGACAGACTGCTTACAGACAACATCCCTGCTGCTTAAGCTAGCAACAATCAACGGTCAGTGCCTGTTCCATTTTGGTGACTATATACTTTGAATACTATCCTAGTAATTAGAATAGCTACCTTATAGGACTGTTGTGAGAATTAGAGGAGTTAATATACATGAAACCCTTTAGAATACGCCTGGCACCCGTAAGTGCTCCATAATTGTTAGCTGTTACTGTTGGTCCCAACTAAATACACATGGCATTTAATCCCAAAGGGGAGGGCTACATATCACATTTTTAAAGTGGTAAACAAACAGTTCTAAATTTACAGCAAATTCATATATAAAAAATGTTACAGGCAGTAAGTACATTCCCCAAATGTTGCTTGTACTTCACACTCACCAGTTTTCTGAAAGGAAATATATCATACATTATTCTACAGTATTCCATGGAAGATTCTACTGAGCAAGTCCACAATGATTTAGATATAGGGGCCAATGGGATGATGCCTTGGGTCCTGTTCTTCACCAGCATATCAAACTCAACATGCTGTCTGCATGATTCTGCCATGTAAGGGCAGTGATCCACAACAAAGACTGTTTTATGAGATTCAGAAAAAATCTTCATTTTGTTTTAACCTGTAAGGGATAAAATATATTAGCCAGATATCTTATACATGACATTTAAATCTTACATTGTTTCTAATGTGTCTTTTCTTCAAGAAGATTTGGAAGATTCAGTATCCAAAGAAACGTGTCCAACAAAGGACAAGATTTAATGAGGTCCTGACCACAAAGTATCAATTCAAGGGATGAGCTACATCCTAATAAGCTGTTACTCTATCAATCACAGGCAAAATTACAGTCCATACTTTTTTGCTTGTTGAATGAATTTAAAATGAGCAAAAGAAAATACTTTTACAAATAATTGTACTTGATCCCCTTACATAATACCAAACAATAATACACGACAAATACTTTTTTCAAACACACTTTTGATGATCCTCGCTTACTGACAGCAATCACATACAAATCCCCAAACTAACCCAAGTCAGCGGTTTTGAGCTTCCCTCCAAAAAGTCTCCAGACTTCTGAAAAGGGAAGGAGATAGAATGAACAGGAAACACAAGTGACAGCAACAGGGAAGACCAAAACACAACAGACATCTAACATAACTGCATATCGGGTCTTCGCATTCGGAAAAGGACCCCAAATTCACAATGCCCCCCCCTTAGCTTTCGAGCCACCGCACTCATTGACCATGCAGAACAGTAAGACTTAGGTGCTACCAAGCGCCTGGCTGGGGAGGAGGAACTCTCTTAAAACTTTTTCTTACAAAAACTCCCTTGCTTCGTTAATAAAACCTTATGCTTAATAGACAATCCACATTCAAAAAGCACATGGTAAAAAAGCAGAAGTGTTCATGAACACGAACTGACTTTTTACGACCCTGCTATTGGCTTCTCCTTGCTTTCCCACGCATTTCCCCTTCATGCAAAACTCCTCTTGGAGGAATCGCGACACCCTCTGCGGGAGGGTGCGGGGTGGACAGCACAAGGTGAGCGGGTAGGGAAGACCTCAGGGCTGAGGTTAGCTTACTTTCGTGCCTGGTCCTGAAGTGGAAACGCACAGAGGCCATGGACCACGGCCGCTCAGGCAAAGGCTGCCGGTTGGGTGGGGAGGGCCAGCGCACGGTCAGGAGCGTCTAGTACCCACGGCAGGGGACTGGGCTTTCCCCCGCTCATCGCTCAGCACTCCGCTTCTTCCCCAGCTTCCTAAGTACGGGAGCGCGCGCGCGTGCGCGCGAGCACGAACACTCACACACCGGGAGCGCGCGTGCGCACAACACTCTCCGACGGCCTGACCAAGCCGCCCTTCCCCCTCGGTGGGCCAGATGCCCAGGTCGCTGAACGGGGAAGAGGGCGGAGCCAAGAGAAAAAAAATGCCTCCGACCCTCAATATTTCCTACCCGCTAATTTTCCACCATCACCCATTGGGAAGTATGTTCCGGGCAACCTGAGAGCCTCCCCATCAGCGAAGTAACAACCACAACACCAGCTAAACCAGCCACGGGCCCTGAAGCGCAAGGCCCTCCCACCCGGGCTCCCCTTCTCGGTCTCTTCACCTAGGCCGGTTTCCCTGGTAAAACTCGCGAGACTTGGTGAGAAACCAAGCGAAAAAAACCTGAGTAGGTTAACGGGGCGGGGCTTAGACTGGGCCCGCCCCCACCTCCCGCGCAAGTCAGGGAGAAGCTGCAAGTAAATCTCTTGGGTCAGCCCCCCAACGGTGACGCAAGGAAGGAAATCTCGCGAGGTTGGAGTGCTGGTGGGAGCGCTAGTCGGACGCGGTTCCCGGTCCAGTGATGGGGCCGAGCCCTGCGGACCCCCCAGTTGCCCGCCGACTATCTCAGCCTTGTTCTAGGTCTGCGCGCTGAAGACGCTGAACAGGCGGAAGGACTCTCTCCCCTTGGGTGCGTAGGTCCCGGTTGGCAGAGGCTTTGAGCCCTGATCGCCACAGCTGACGGCTGCGAGGGACTGAGACCAGAGTAAGTGGAATAAACCCGGGACCAGAGCAGGCGGAGGAAGCCGTTAGCTTCCGGGGCCGCTCTGGTGCTTTGCTCCTCCTGAGCTACCGGTTGCCCGGCCATCGGTTTCCCCCCGCCGGTTAGCCCCTCCGGGGAGCTGTACTTCCTCTCCCCGGCCTCAGGTCTGAGCTCCTCGTTCCGGGGCTGCAGTGCGGGAAGTTTAATGAAAAGCTTTGGCCCTGGCCCTCGGGACACACCTTCCGTCTGTTTTCTTGCTGCCTAACCCACCTGGGAGCTCACCGTTGAGGGGAGGGAAAGGGGACCCTTTCGGTTTTCACTTTATCTCTTTGCAGCATAGGACATAGAGAACTCTTTTCTCCTTCTTGAAACTGCCCTCTGAGCATTGCTCCTCTTTTCCTGGTTTTCTTCCTGCCGTTCTTCTGCATCCCATGATTGATAGTGGGTCCAGTCCTGCTGGCCAAGCTGGGAACCTGCGTCCTTGATTCTGCATTGCCACTCGCACTGCACTATGTTATTTCTCCTTTCCCCACAATGGTGCAGGTGCCCTCCCCCAGCTAAGCTTCCCCGCCATCATCCTTCCCAGTGAGTTATCGTTCTGAACTACACATCTGTTTATGTCGCTGCCGAAACTTTTTTGGTCACCAATTTTGCCGACAAAACTATTTCCTGATGGTTAAGCAGCACCATTCAGGACCTTTTACTGTCAGTCCCAATCTAGTTTGCCTTCTTAGTCTCCCCTTGCTTCTCCAGATACCTTACTATCCGACCACACCAGGCAGCTGGCTGGCTGTAGCTCCAAAGATGTGCACTTTCACAGCTGTGTGCCTTTGACATTTAAAATATGTATATGTGTCTGTGTGTGTGTGTATGTATGTATGTACACACATACATACACACACACACACACACAGACACATATATATATACTAGAGGCCTGGTGCACAAAAATTTATGCACTGGGCGGTTGGGGTGTCCCTCAGCTCGGCCTGTGCCCTCTCCCAGTCTGGGACCCCTCGGGATGTCCACCTGCTGGCTTAGGCCCGCTCCCCTGGGGATTGGGCCTAAGATGGCAGTCAGACATCCCTCTGGCAGCCCGGCAGCCCTCGAGGGATGTCCACTTTGCCTGCGGGGAGCAGGCCTAAACTGCAGTCAGACATCCTTAGTGCTGCTGAGGAGGCAGGAGAGGCTTCCCACCACCACCGCTGTACTGGCAGCCATCAGCCTGGCTTGTGGTTGAGCAGAGCTTCTCCCATGTGAGGGCGCTCTGACCACCCAGAGGGCAGCTCCTGCATTGAGTGTCTGCCCTCAGTGGTCAGTGTGTGTCATAGTGAACAGTCATTCCCAGTCCTTCTGCTGTTAGGGTCAGTTTGCATATTACCCTTTTACTATATAGGCTAGAGGCCTGGTGCATGGGTGGGGGCCGGCTGGTTTGCCCTGAAGGGTGTCTGGTGAGGGGCTGAGGGCCGTTTTCAGGCTGACGAGAGACTGAAGCTCCCAACCTCTCCATTTTTCTTTCTTTTTTTTTCATTCTGGGATTTATTTACCTTCTATGGCTGTCACTGGAACTGAGAGCCGGCTTTAGCTCTGCGGCTTGGCTCTAGCTCTGAGACCTCAGCTACTGAAAACAGGTATCTGAGTTTGTTTGGCTTCTATAATTGAAACACTGTTGCAGTTCCAGCTCTGAGGCCCTGCTGGCTGAAAGCAGGTTTCTGGGGTTTGTTTAGCTTCTATAATTGCAACATTGTTTCTTAGAGTGCAAGCTCAGAGCCCAGCAGTGGCAGGCGGGGAACCTTGGCTTCCTCCATCACTGGAGCAAGCGAGCCTCCTGTTCGCTTTAGCTGCCTGGCTTCCGGCCACCATCTTGGTTGGCAGTTAATTTGCATAGTGCCCTGATTAGCCAATGGGAAGTGTGTTTGAGGTACAGTTAATTACCATGTTTGTTTATTATTAGATAGGATATGATTTACATGCATTTTTCTTGATTTATTTTTAGAGTGTAAGTTTATGAGAAAGCCCATACTATGCCTTTTTTATTTTTCTATTCCATGTCCATTATCTACTAATTGACATTAGAGATACCTGCCTGAGCTACCCAATAAAAATTTTTAATTAAAGTAGATTGTTGACATTTGAAGACACTCAATGGCATATCGGTAGTCACAGTATTTCTGTATGTCCAACTATAGGATACTGAATTTTTGGGTAAAAGAGAAAGAAGAGTGACTTGAATTTCTTTAAAATTTTGTTAACCAAAATCTAAAATTAACAGCAGTCAGTTGCTGTCATAGGTGGGTGGTGGTTTCTCTTTTATCAGCAGCAGAATGTTCTGAACCCGCTGCCAGGAGTCTGTCAGTGTCTTTGGGTGGTAAAGTAGGCGAGTATATAGCTAATGCAGGGGAAAAACCTGCTTTAGAAAAATTTCACCTGTAATTTGGGCCCACCTATAGGAGATAATGTAAGTAATAATTAAGCATGATAAAAATAGGTAGATAAATTGGGAATACCCCTTTTATTTTTTTTTAAATAAATTTTATTGATTTTTTGCAGAGAGGAAGGGAGAGAGATAGAGAGTTAGAAACATCGATGAGAGAGAAACGTCGATCAGCTGCCTCCTGCACATCTCCTACTGGGGATGTGCCTGCAACCCAGGTACATGCCCTTGACCGGAATCGAACCTGGGACTTTTCAGTCCGTAGGCCGACGCTCTATCCACTGAGCCAAACCGGTTTCGGCGGGAATACCCCTTTTAAAATGTTTTCTTTAACTGGAATATGTTTTTTAAACTTGTTAGAGAGGTTGGAAACAATCTCCCTCCCACTCCACTTACCAACCCAAAAAGAGAGGGGAAACACAATGTTTTTCAAAAAAGGTCACAAAGTTAATGCTTATTATAAAACATTCTAAACTTTTCTGTGGTTTCACATACAGGAAATGAACATGCAGATTCTTAGAAACTCTGTGTCACTGTTTTTCTGAAATACTAATAAAATAATGCTTTGAATTACCTTATGTTTAAAATTCATTTTTCAGAATAGCATTATTTTTATAGTTACAAAGCAAAATTTAAATATAGTTTATTTTGATAGTAGTGTTTTTTTAGCAGACTAGAAAATACTTTTTAAAGTGAATGTTAATTGTAATTGAGAAAGCCTATCAGCACACATCCATTGGTCTTATAATTAACTCTAATGCCTAGTAAAAATGGATGCTAGGCTTTTACTAGTTAGAAGAAAAAATATTTGAGCCCTGACCGGTTTGGCTCAGTGGATAGAGCGTCGGCCTGTGGATTTGAAAGGTCCCAGGCTTGATTCCAGTCAAGGGCATGTACCTTGGTTGTGGGCACATCCCCTGTGGGAGGTGTGTAGGAGGCAGCTGATCGATGTCTCTAGCTCTCTATCCCTCTCCCTTCCTCTCTTTAAAAAATCAATAAAATATATTTTTAAAAAATTTTTGAAATTTTGTTATTTCATTCTTCATTAACACTCCCATTTATTTTCTAGTGCTGGCTTGAAATGCAATTTTTATAATATTTTGGAAGACCTGTTGGTGAAATAGAGTTGGGGAATTTGCTCTGTTTTTCCAGCCAGGAAGACTAAGATAGTTTTTATTTATCTAAAAGCAAATACGGTCCTGGGATCCACGTTGGCTCCTGAGTAGAGCACTAGCCTGGGTATTGGAAATTCTATTTCTGGTACTAGCTTGACTCCTTCCTTGCTGCATGGTGCTGTCATTCATTTCCTTTCATTTGGAATCCCTGAGTCTTTCCTCATTGATAAATGGGAATACACTTTTCCTATTGACCAAAGGACATTATTAGCTGGTAGCCCTCAGGTTCAGAAAGCTACTAACAGTTTGAATTAATTAAAATGATTATTTAGCAGTTTTATTTTATTCTACAGTGCTCTAGAGGTCCATTTGGATTGGCTTAGGTTAGAGAGAAGGCTAAGACTAGGTAAACCAAAATGAAATATCACCTCACGCTTGTGGGAATGACAATCATCAATAAATCAACAAATAAGGATGTGAAGAAAAGGAAACCCTCATACACTGTTGCTGGGATTGTAAACTAGTACAGCCCGTAGGAAAAACTGGAGGTTCCTCAAAAAATTAAAAATAGAGCTGCTATACAATCCAGCAATTACACCTCTGGGGAATTTATCCAAAAACAAAACACTAACTAGAAAGATATATTAATTGTATGTTCATTGCAGCATTGCTAGTAAGAGCCAAGATATAGAAGCCACCTAGATGTCTAACAATAGATGAATGGATATATATAAATCTCATGGTGTGTGTGTGTGTATATATATATATAAAAGGCTAAGTGGCCATCCAACCAGTAGCTATGATGCGCAGTAACCACCAGGGGGCAGACGCTGAACGCAGGAGCTGCCGAGCTGCAGTGACTTGGCAGCGACAGTTCTTGGATGATGCACCCGGGAACCAGAGAGGAGGGAGCCCGATTCCTGGGTGCATCACCTGAGAACAGCCCTCTTGCAATCCTGGACCCCTCAGGGGATGTTGGAGAGCCGGTTTTGGCCTGATCCCCACAGGCCAGGCCGAGGGACCCCACC